GCCTGAAGGAGCGCCAACCACAGCTCCACAAAGGGTGACCCTCTTGACTCTGTGGTTCACGGCTATGTTCGCCGCACCCCTCACGAGGATCGCGCCCCAAGGAGCAGCCAGCCACATCGACAGCGGAGGCTGACATTCTCTGGTCCCCACGCCAATTTTCTCGCATCCTCCTCAACGAGGGTCGCGCCCCACTGGAGCTCCAGCTGTCAGCCTCCAAGCAGGGCGGGTACCCTCTGTGGCTCCTCGCCACTGTGCCCCATATTCTCGGCGTGTCCGTCGTCTCCTCACTTTCCCCCCCTCCCCTTTCCCCTTTCCTTCTTTGTCTCCTTCCCCACCCAGCCCCACAGACCAGCCCCCAGGCCAGGAGGTCCGCGGACTGGCTCCAGGCCGGGGTTTCTCGCCCATTTCGGCGCCCATCTCATGAGAATCGCGCCCAAGACGGACCTCCAACGACAGCTCCAGCCAGGGTGAGCCTCTCTGACGTCCATTCCGCTGCAATCCTCGCGAGGATCGGGTCGCACAGGGAGCTCCAGCTACGGCTCCAGCAAGGGTGAACGTCTCTGGTTCCACGCAAACCTCGCCGCACCCATCATAATAGTGGTGCCCCACAGGAAGCGTCAGTTACAGCTCCAGCGAGGGTGATCCTCTTTGGTCCACGCCGATCCCGCTGCTTCCTAACGAGGATCGTGCCCACAGGGAGCTCCAGCTTCAGTTCCAGCGATGGTGTGACCCTCTCTGGTTCCTCGCTGCTCTCTTCCTCAATTCTGCTCGTCACCCTCCACCTCTTTTTCCCCTTCCCTGTCCTCATCCTCCTCCTCTTTCTTGATCTCTCCCCACCCAGCCCCACGGACCTGCCTCCAGGCCAGGGGGTCCACGGACCGGTCTTCAGGACGTGTTTTCTCGCCATTTCGGCGCACATCTCACGAGCATCGCGCCCCAGACGGACCTCCAACGACAGCTCCAGCGAGGGTGACCCTCCCTGGTTCCGCGCCAATTTCGCCGCAAGCCTCACGAGTATCGCGCCCCACATGGAGCTCCAGCCTGAAGCTCTAGCGAGGGTGACCCTCTGTGGTCCCGACGCAATTTCGCCGCACCCCTAACGAGGATCGTGCCCCATAGGGAGCGTTAGCTACAGCTTCAGCGAAGGTGACCCTCTCTGGTCTCACGCCATTATCGCTGCATCCTCACGAGGATTGTGCCCCACAGGGAGCTCCAGCCTCAGCTCCAGCGAGTGTCACTATCTCTGGTTCCCTTCGCTCTACTCCCCAATTCTCCTCGTTGTCCTCGTCCTTTCCCCTTCCCCTCTCTTCCTCCTTGTTCTTTGCCTCTTCCCCCACCCACCCCCACGGACCAGCCTCCAGGCCAAGGGGTCCGCGCACAAGCCTCCAGGCCAGGCTTCTTCGCCAGTGTTGGCGCACATATCATCTTTGGTTATACGCCCATTCCGCCGCAACCCTCACGAGGATCGGATCGCACAGGGAGCTCCAGCTTCAGCTCCAGCAAGGGTGAACGTCTCTGGTTCACGCCAACTTCACCGCACCCCTCATAAGAGTCGTGCCCCACAATGGGCATCACCGCCAGTGCACACAGTCACGCACATAGACACTTGCATGGCATCACAACCAGTACACACAACCACACACAGACACTTGCATGGCATTACCACCAGTACACACAGCCACACACACAGAGACAAATGCATGGCATCACCATCAATGCACACAACCACACACAGAGACACCCGCAAGGCATCACCACCAGTGCACACAGCCACACACAGACACTTGCATAGCATCACCACCAGTACACGCAGCCACACACAGAGACACTTGCATGGCATCACCACCAGTGCACACAGCCACACACAGGGACACTTGCATGGCATCATCACCAGTACACACAGTCACACACAGAGACACTTGCATGTCATCACCACCAGTTCACACAGCCACGCACTGAGACACTTGCACAGCCTCACCACCAGTTCACAAAGCCACACACAGAAATACTTGTACGACATCACCACCAGTACACGCAGCCACACACAGGGACACTTGCACGACAGCACCACCAATTCACAAAGCCGCACACAGGGACACTTGCATGGCATCACCACCAGTACACACGGCCACACACAAAGACACTCGCACGGCATCACCACCAGCGTACGCAGCCACACACAGAGACCTTTGCATAGCATCACCACCAGTTCACACAGCCACATACAGAGACATTTTCAAAGTACCACCACCAGTTCATACAGCCACACAGAGAAACAACATGCGTCGGCATCAGTACACAGACTGACCTCCATGCCGGAACCCGCCATTGCTCACATATGCGTTGCACAGAGAGCCCAAAGGTGCGCAACGCATAAGTGGGCAGTTCAATATTACGTTTTTGTCGGATTCCGGTTCCCGCCAGAAGGGTAACCGTTGGAAAACCCGCGGCCTGGAAGCCGGTCCGTTCGGACCAGCCCCGGCCTGGAAGCCGGTCCGTT